AGCCGCCCGACCGCCTCGCCTCGCCATACGACGCACCCCCGCCAACTGCAGATGATAATGCAGAAGTGATTGGTGAGGAGGGAGAGGGAGAGGAGGACGACAGCAGCGACCTCACCATGTGGTCGCTGCGGTTGCACCTCGACTCGAGTGTGCGGCACGGCGGCATGATGCGGCGGTTCGCCCTGTCGCTGAACGAGTCGCATGTGCGAATGATGGCGGCTAACTGTGGGGTGCAGATTGGCGAATAGTGAGTGGCCGAAACTGGTCATGTAATGTTAGCGTTGATGGGGGGAGACAGTGACTTTTGTCGTTGGGCTGGGTCTGGATAGCTGAATGTTTGTCCGTGTGATGGCGTTCGGGTTTGTGAAACGCGAGGGCACGCACGGCAAGGGGCCTCCGCACGCAATTCGTGAGCCAGTAAATTGTTCCTCTCCGCATGGAACCATGGGCGCCCAGGCAGCTGACCAGGTGAAGCGGCTCACCTAGGTGAACTAGGTCTGGCGGGCGTTGTGAATGTCGTGAGCTTTTCCGAGCCAATTTACGGCTTTCGAACCCTGACCCTATAACCTAAACCCTAAATCCATTTAAGCTTATCGACGGCAGAGATGACGGCATTTAAGATCGACGGCGCTTAAGCTCAGGCCCTCAGATCGACGGCGGCGCCCGGCGGTCAAGATCGACGGCATTCAGGACCCGCTCTACAGTGTACCGTACATCTCATTCTCATTCTCATCTCATTCTCATCTCTCATGCATTCCCATCTCTGCCAATCGGCGGCTCTATAGTGTGCCACTTCCTTTCGGGAGCTTCATTTATTCTCATCTTGGTAACTTCTCTCGTGCCACGCCATTGACGAAGACCAGCACGCCTCCCACCATGCAATGCCGCCACCGTTATGGCAATTCACCCACGACGCCGCATACACCGGCCCGGCCTTCGCCACGCCGTGCACCATCTCTATCACCATTGTCGCCCACCATCGGCCCTGGCCAACGCCAATGTCACCAATGCGTCCGACCGAGAATACGCATGACGAGCACATGACCCCAGTGGATGAGGACGGTGACGTGATAATGGTCGACGCCCCTCGTGAAGGAGCAGACGGATGTGCAGCGGGACGCACTTTCTCCCAAGGTCAAGTCGCCCACCGTCCAGCAACAGCAGCAGCAGGAGGAGCCCACCATCCCCCTTCGCCCGTCCGCTGGTGTGGGTGTGGCTGTGCCGGCAAAGGGCATGATAGCGGCGGAGACCAAGAATGTGAGGACGGGCAATCTGAAGCTGTACCCCGGACAGAGGAAGGGGTCTGTGGAGGGCAGGAAGGGCGATGGGGGCAAGGTGGAGGATCAGACACACCGAACCTACAACGCATCAGCCTCTGAGCGAGGTAGGTGTAGCCATACTGTCTCTCTGCATGTGTGTCTCTTTGTCTTTCTTTTGTCGTTCAGTGCTGGATGGTGTGTCCCGCCCCACCGTCTCCCGCCCCTCGCCAGTCGCTACCCAGTGTCCGAGTAATCCCCCAAGGCGGCTCTCCTCCGTCCGCGGGCCGGATGGCTGCGGTCGTCCCCTCCGTCCGCGGGCCGGATGGCTGCGGCCGTCCGACCCATGGGATGACCCACACCTGCAACCGAGGAGGGACAACCGAGAGGCACAACCGAGAGGGCGTGCCGACTCAATACGGAGAGACACTTCCTCCCTTTCACCTCCTTGACTGTTCTGTAGGACCGAGGCCTCTTTTTTCAAGATTTCTGTGGTGTGTCGGCATTGGCTGGGCGGCCTTGAGGCGTCTGCCTCGGCTGCATCCACCTGTCGGCAGCTGATCTGCCATCATTTTTCTATGGGAGCAGGAGCAAGATGTACACCACGCACTCCAGCCCGTGAGCCACCCAGAGGGAGGCCACGGCAATGGAGTGGCGACGGCGGGGATCTCGAGTAAACTCGAAACGGTCGCCTTCTTGTGGACATGCGGCGGTGGATTGCATGGCGCTGATAGACGGGGCTCTTATGGGGTGACAACCCTTGTTGAGCATCTGTGTTGTTAGCTTGTCGTGTTTGTTAGCATCGATTGTCTGTCTTTGAAGGACTTTTGATGAAGGACTGCTGTAGCGTAGATAAAAGGACTGCCTTCTGACCACAGACTGTCGCGGCCTCTGTGCCTTTCATCAACAAGTCGTGCGGCCAACAACGAGTCTGAGGCATCATTCATAATGTCCACACACACCGACCACGTCCACACACACCCCTCGTGTAGGAGCAGACGGATGTGCAGCGGGACGCGGTTTGTGCAGGGCGGAGTAGAGAATGGTGTTTGATCGGGTGGCGAGAGAGGTAATAAGGGTGGCAGACAACGAACGTTGATGTGGAATGAATGCATCCACATGATAGAGTCGGCAGGTCCGATCCGTACTCACACAACACACCCACACACGAGTACAAACTTCCCCCCCACGGCAGGTTAGGCAGACAGACAGACAGACAGGCAGGCAGGGAGGGAGCTGGATACACACACGCCTCCCTCCCTCCCTCCGTCCCTCACACTGCCCACACACTCACAGACTCGTAGCTAACTTGCAGCCGCCAGTGAGTGTATCCGCACACCCACATAGCCGCAGCAGCCTGGGAGGACGGGCAGAAGTAGATAGAGAGATACACAGCGCAGCAGAGCATAGACAGACAGACAAGGAAGGAGCCAGTGAGTGAGCAGATCGCCTAGCTACATGGACGGACAAGTACAAGTAGGTAGGTATCCAAGTTTGTTTGTTTGTGTCGATCGACAACAGAAAAACGCGGCAATTAATGCGGCCCATTCAGCGCAATGCCTGCCGACTTATCAATACATACATACATAGTACTCACGGATCACTTTCCCCACCCTGTCTGTCTGTCTGTCTGCCAGTGCGGTCACTGGATAGCTACATAGACCACCCTCCCTCCATCCCGATTGAATTGGTCGCTCCGGCCATCCATCCATCCATCCATCCATCCGTCCGTCCGTCACGCCGCCCCCAATTGCATTGCAGCCAACAGGCATCCGTACGTATACACAGTCAGTCAGTCAGTCGTTAGATATCCATGTGCATGTCATGTATATACACAGCAAACACCCCTCCCTCCCTCCCCTGTCTCATTAACCAGCCAACCAACCAGCCAGCACCTTCCTAGTGTCCATCGCTCGGTCAACCGAAGGCAGGTCATTCATTCCTCCCTCCCCGGGCCGCCGTGTGGGCTGATGCCCCCCTCCCCCCTGTGGTGTGCGATCAGCATCTGTGTGTCTTCGTCGCTGGAGCCCCCCGGCTCCTCGTCGTTGGCCAAAGGGGAGCCCGCCTCGGTCGAGACGTTGCTGTGGTCCCTCTCCGT